GACGAAACGTCGGCAAGTTAACCGTTCATCTGTATATTAGAGAATCATGGATTTTTAGTTTGGATTTTTCCATTTATAATGTGTTTAAATTTATCTATATGACATACTTCAACGGAAAGAAGCTGGGGAAAAAGTTACGAGGGATGGTAAAATGAGATCCCGAATAATTCAAGAAGTATACACTTTTTTGTTGATATTGTGATGTTACGATGTTTCAAAGGTATTTAAATTTCCTAAAAAATTAAGTAAGTTTCATCGAAATCAAAGTACTTTTAGTAAAGATATCGCTATTTTTAAATATTTTTTATTTATTTATTTTCAATAATAGACCATTGTGATCGAACAAAAAATTCAAAAACTAAACCTCCTATCAAAATTTGAGGTTTTAAATTTTAGGATACGTAGAATTTTTTTATAGTTAACAATGGGGTCCTCTTCAATGTTTTAAAATAGAGCCCCCATACCTCAGGACCGTCCACTAACTTGTCTACTTACTACTACACTTAGCTACGACTACACACTCTATTTTAAAATCCCATTGTAAAATAAAAAAAAAAAAAAAAACTAGATCGAAACGTCAAATAAGCAGTAGGATCAATGACCATTTTGTACTTCATTGAATAATTATTAAGTGACCTAATTCCCAATTTAAATGATTATGTTAAAATATATATACATGTAAACTCTCCATATATAAATTTGGCAGTTATTTCTTCAAAGATGAGATATAAAGTGTTAAATAATATAATAATGAACTCGTGATAATTTATTGTTACATTACCCACTATCACATACCACAAGTGATATTGTGAACGATTTTTTTAAAGAAAAATATATTAATAAAACAATTGAATACATTACATATTTATTTTAAAGGTTTGACGAATTGAAATTAATTCTCAATTTTACGATGATTCAAAATTTTCGAGGTAAATGTGATAAAATCTTCAGGTAAAAATGGATCGGTGTACATGAATGAATTATAAAACCCTAGGATATGTTGTTACATATAATTATATTTGAATTTAAATTTAAATTTTAATAATAGGAAAATCGGACGCGATAATAAAGTACTTGCGTACCTCCATCTAGGCCTTAGCTTAGTCGACTTTTTTTATTTGTCGTTGATTTTAGTTTATACATTTTAATCATTAATGTAGATTAATTGTTGTTGATTTATTTGGAGAGAGGAAGGGGGGAATGAAACGATATTGTCCCCCCCTGTCTATTTAACTGAGGGAGGAAATCGCCCCCCTCGCCACTCTCCCCTAAAGTCTGGCGCATATGCCCAATGACAAGAATGAATTCATTACGAGGGTATCGTCAGAATTATAAGTGATTCGATAAAATATGACAAAGAAGTAAGATATAAGACAAGACAAGCTAAACAGTTTTAGACTATCTTCAAGTGGACTGAGCTATTAGATGTCAACACGACTGCTACAAGAGCACTGTATCTTATCTACGAGACAGCTGGGTATCTCCTCGATGACATCACCGGGGGGAGTGGGTTACGTCAGCAGTCAGCTGTTGGCCACCTCCCACGGTACTTTCTCCCTCCCCTCCTACCTCGCTGCTCTCTCGCCGCATCATACCTCTATGTTTACCAGTTCGGCTAAGACGTATGGTCTTCTTACGCGTTCTACAACAGCGATAAAGTAATCGCCAAGCAGGACATTTTTCAATGCCACCAAAATAGCATCAGATAAAAATCTCTCATTAAAGAAAGATAAAACATATATTTTTTAAATTGCACAAATTATTCTATTATACCAGTACAACTAATTAGAATGGAAGCATGGAAATCGGTGAAAGAATTGAAGTTAGATATGTCATCCAAAATTTACGAATTACATGGAATTCTCAAGTCAAAAATATAATAATTGAAAAGAAGCTGGTTGGGTTGTTCAGTCAATAATACAAAATCAAAATAAATAAATGATGATAAGTTCAGGACTGATCTTACGAAAGGTTCTCGTAAGATCGGAGATGTCAATAGGATTCATTTTTCGAAACCGTATTCATCTTACGGGAACCTTTCGTGAGATCAGCACTGATGAAGGCTTGAACTTTTGGCCGAAACTTATAAATATCATTTATTTATTTTGATTTTCTATTATTGACTGAACACCCCAACCAACTTCTTTTCAATTATTCACCACAGTCAACCATCAATCCACTATTATAAAAAAAAAGGAATAACCTAATAGGGATAGCATGGGAGTATAGCAGGGATGGAAATTTTTATGGATCTCTTTTTAAAGAATTACATTTTAACAGTTTCAGTGGAACGTTTTAGTGAAAAAGTTCCTTTTCAACAGTTTCTGTGGCAAGTTTTAGGGAAACTGTTCCTTTTTAACAGTTTCTGTGGCACGTTTTAGGAAATAATTTCCATTTTTTAAGTTTCTACAAATCAGTTTTCATTCTGGAGGGCGGATAAACTTTGTCAACTTAATTAGGTACTAAAAACTCGTGGATACACATTTGCTTACAACTTGGATCGTAAGATAATTTGATCAGAATATAGAGAAAAAAGGTGACGTTAAAAAATACTGAGCCGTTAGGCGTGACCTACGCCCCCAAATTTTCAAAATACCGACATTATAAAGGACAAACGGCCCACTATTTTTGTAGGCCACCTTTTTTATCTATTTTGTGATTAAATTATCTTACGGTCCAAGTAGAAAGAAAATGTGTATTTACGAGTTTTCAGTACCTAATTAAATAAACAAGCTTTGCTCCCCTCCAGATTGAAAACGCCCCAATTCCAAGAGTTTTCGTAAATAAAATAGTTGTAGGTTACGATGAGATGAAGCTATTCACGAAGCTTCAGACGGATGTTAATATTTCGATAAAAAGGCAGTCTGTACTACGGGCTAGATTTATTTAATTTAATTTAATAAAACGCCTCATTTCTGGGAATTTTCATAGACAAAAAAGTTACAATAAGACGAAGCCATTCACAAAGTTTTGAGAAGGATTATTAATAATTTTATAAAATGGCGCCTGTACCGTGGACTACTAGTAACAGACAAGAATTAATTGGGCATGAAACTGTAGAAGAGAAAGTGAAGGTTCGTTCGCGAGTGTTCAACCAACGTTGGCCACTCACTTCCGGGTGCATATACCACAATATATATGTAATATCTAAATCCTACAAGCATTCATTTCGAATAAAGGACAATCAGAATCATTATATAAATAGGCAAAGATAAAACAGTTCTTTCCATTTTTCTGCCAAGTTTCTTAAACGATTTTTGAAGTGAATACTTCTTTTATGTTAATACGTTTTGCACTTTTTTTTTGAGAAGTGAATGAAATGAGTTTTTTTGACTAGCTATTGATGAGCATAAGTGTCATCAATAATCCATCTCATAATTTATTCTGTTGTTTATAATTGACAACAATATTCTCCACCTACTATTCCAGATTTAAAATATATAATAGGGATTATATTTTTGATTTAAAAAAGTATTACTAAAGAATTATTATCATTTTTAATTGCTAAATAAATTATTGGAAAAAATGATCAGGGTATGATTTTTGTCATTTATGATACAAAATAAAAATTTCTCTTAATGAAAATCATCAAATGATTTTTAAAAGTTCCAAATAAACATTTTGATGAGATTTTATTTTTATTTATTGCCCATTTCAAACTCTGAATTAAAAACAAAACAAAAATAAGATGCGTCCTTTATACCACACAATAGAAGTGAAAACATCAAGAAGGCGATATTAATAATATCAAATATAAATTATAAATAATAGCTCATTATAAAGAGGATGAAATGCTGAACAATTTCTTCGTTTACAGTAGTCAACTTCGATTTTTAGTTTCTGAGATATTTTAATCCATAATTCAATAAAACTCGTTATCATTTATTTTTCGCCTCTCTAGCCTGGCGTAGCATTAAAATACAAATTTGAATATTAGCTCATTACAAAGAGGATGAAATGCTGAACATTTTCCACAATACAGGTCCGATTTTTAGTTTTTGAGATATTATAATTCAAATGAAAAAAAATCAATTCCGCTTCCACTGTGTTCTAATTTTTTTTGTGTAATTTCTTTGTGAAATTCGGTTTCTTTTGGCTCCTGGTTTCTCACTTCGCTGCTGGGAAATTAGTGCTAAAACAGAGGCTAATATAGAATAACTTAGTAGAATAGACATACTATTTTTTTTTTTTTTTTATGATTATTTTTTTTCCTTTTCGCTCTCTAATACGTCTTCGCGTTAAAATACAATTTTCAACAATAGCTCATTACAAAAAGGATGAAATAATGGACATTCCCTCGCTTACAGTATGCAGGCCCGATTTTTAGTTTCTGAGTTATTTTAATTCATATCATCAATAAAACTCTAAAAATTAAATTAAACCAAAATAATTATTTGGTTTTCGACACTATTTTTCCCTTTTCGCCTCTCTAACACGAAGTCGCGTTAAGATACAATTTTGAATCATAGCTCTTTACAAAGAGTATGAAATGATTTCTCTCACCAATGCAGGTACGATTTTGAGATATATTAATCCATATGCAAAAAAAATACAATTAGACGACTCCAGCTTACTCAACCTGAGTGTTACACATCGGAAATCTGACGGATCAATCTAATTCACTTTCCACAAAAAAGTTCAAAACGCGCCTAAAGAAGTTTTCAATTAAAAAAAAAGCCTGTACCACTACAACCAATGAAGGGTCTTGGGTTCAGTACTACTTCGGTATAGCACTGTTTCTTATTCAACGGTTGTTCAAGGAGGTGATCATCACGTGATCACGATCAACCGCTAGGTTTCTCCCCTTAATTATTTAATTAACAATACCCACTTTATAAAGTGGTGCCTAAGGAGAGACTCCCGATCCCAGGATCGACCCACAGCTGATAAAAAATTACTAAATTGACCATGAGCTTAGCAGCCCAGTACCTAACTCACTGTACTACTCCGCTCTCGTAATAAGTAAACAAGTTTAATTTTAATATATAGTAAAATAATACCTGAGTGTAACACCAGTTCTCTGCTACTGGAGTGTTGGGCTCCTGGGGCGGGGGGCTAGGCACCCTCGACACCGCCATGCTTGACCCCACCCGCGAACAGTCGCTCACCACCGGTAGCCTGCAACCAAACATATTATATATTATATTATATTATATATTATATATAATATCTGCAGATAATAGTCTATAATATATCAGTATATATATCTACAGAAAAGGCAAATCGGCCGAAGTAAATAAAGACGAAACAAAAAAACATGAAATGTTTTTTTTATTATCATGAAATTTACAACTGTATAAAAATACATATACAACCAGTAAATGTGATACGGAGAAATAAAATGATATGAAAAGATTTGTAGAGAACATATATATTAAAATTTCTAAATTAGGGTATAAAAAAGATTATTTTATTTCTAACAACGGAACATTCAGGAATTTATGAGGGATTTTGGATTTTAAGAACTGGATACAAAAGGAATTCGTTAGTTTAGTGGCATCTCATAGCTCAATTTCGTATGTATATGAGTCTTTTGTAATTAATTGGAAGCTTAATAGAAAACTTTAGAAATAGAATGCTTTTCCCTCCACAGTTGGATGGACAAGTCTGGTTCGGAGTTCTCTCGCCAGATTGTAAATATTGTATATAGATATGTATGTGTTCTTTTTACTTGTTTATTTTTACTAGTTTCAATTACTTGGTTATTTTATTCTTATTTATTGTACTGTAAATAGTGTAAATAGCCTGTGTCTAAGATGTTTATTTTCATTACTTTTTTTTTTTAAGATAATTTTAATTCTATTTTATTCATTTATTTTTTTTTTCTATTATTACTATGATTTATATTTTCTTCCCTCACTATGATGTTTTATTTTGTTCTTATTTAGCTTTATATTATTTTGAAATTACCTTATTTATTTTTTAATTTGTAAATATGGTGTGAATGTGCTCATAGAACTCTATTATAAATGTCCTTTATTGAGACAGATTGTAATATTTATCAATAAACACTTTACAATTTATTTTATATATATTATTTTTCTGTATTATTTTATTTATTGTACATAGAGTGTGAATGTGATCTCTGAACACTATTGTAAATGTCCTTGAGACAGATTGTAATATTTTTCAACAAATAATTTAAAAAAAAAAAAAAATGAAAGACCGTTCGACTATTTAGTGCTGGAGTAGTCGGATACATCGAGCCAACCAAGTTAGACGTTTCTTCAGGTGGAGTCCTAGGTACTGGATTTGTTGTACAGGGATAAGTTGGGCAATTTTAAAGTTTTTTTTTACTTTAAATCTTTTTATTGAGAAATAATACATTTTGCCACATTTAAGGGCACTGAGTACTAAAGCTGAGTGAGGCCCATTCATACTATATATACAATGCAATAAAAAAAAAAAAAAATAAAAATATATTTCTAAATAACAAAGGTAAAAACTATAAAACTAAAGAAAAAAAAATTTTTTTTTTTTTAAGTATACTGTAGGACAGGAAGTCATAGATTTACGACGAAAAGTAAAGATAATATGATGGGATTTACTTAAATTCTCTAGTTTTTACACCATTTTTTAAGGTTTGTGTTGAGTGATTAAAGAGTTTGAGTTATAACGTGATAAGACGATAATCCTACCCAAATAGTAGGATCTGCGTAAAAAAAAAATCGTTCCAGAGAATAGACAAATTCTAATACCTCGGCTCCACATTAACATCAATGAGACAGTTAAAAATAGTCCAGCTTATAACAAAACCAAACAAGACTTTCTTCTCTCTTTTAAAGGTCTTGAAATCCCGAAAAATCTCTAATTAAGGATGTGTAATGCTATAATATAGCAGTGAGATCTTGACTTTAACCAGCGCCCTAGAAAATTTGTTTGAAAGATTTGAGAGAAAAATTCTCCTCAAGATAACCGGATAGATCTGGGATCAGAGAAATATGGAGAAGAAATACCAATAAATATAGCTGCTAACAGAAAACGGTCAATCAATGTGACATGATATGAATGCAAGGAGGTTAAGCAAACAGCTTGGAGCAATCCAACAGAAAGCCTCTACATGACAATGAATGCCTCAATAGAAGGCAAAAGACCACGTGGAAGACCAGAAAGCAGATAGATAGATAGATAGAATCAACAAACATGCAATAGAGCTGCATGAAGATAACTGGGAAGAAATAGCCAAAGACAGGGAGAGATTGAGTAGGCTTATTAAGGCGACAAAAGATCAACCAAGTCTGTAATGCCAACAGAAAAAAAAATTGTGGGATATCTAATCTATTAGCAATAGTATTATCCATATTGTTTCCAGATAATCCAATTTATTAACCTTCCGAAATGGACAAGATAAAAAGTTGTATATTTACCCATATAAATTTAAGTAATAAAATAAAGTTATTCTAAAGGGACCTAGTCCCAGAATGAAGATGATTTTCCTATTCTATTCTATTCAAAATTTTGTAACACCATCTTTCTATGGTCTTTTGTTTTGGCTTTTCAAACCCTATAGTCTGGAATGAATCTTTATGGTCTCAGCATATCTATAATAATTAATTACACATTCGTTTTTTATTTTTTATCTTTGATTTTTTATTTGAAATTTTTCGACTTCGATTGACTTGTATTATTTCGCAAGGTACTGCCCACAGCAGCGACTGCAATTCCTGACTGCCAACAGTTTATGCTTATGTATTGCGCTGAAACTGCTCAATGTAAGCAGTTGCATTATGAGGTTAGATCATTTTGAACGGAAAACATCAGCCAAATGATAGGAAATTTTTTCGATTTATTGTGAAAAGCCATAAAGTTTTACTTAACATTTCATAAAATTATTTTAATACATTTTATAAAACTATGTTTGATATTACAAAAATTTAGCTGAATGAAATGATATATTTGTAATGAAATAGAAACGAATAGTGTTATATCATTAGGTAATTAAATTAATACATCAACACTTTAATTAAAAGAAAAAAAAAATGATTTTTCAATATTCGGATTTGAGTATTTACTTGAGATTACTAATTTCTTAACCATTATTTAATATTAGTTCGATTAAATCATACTTGAATCCCTCTATATAATCTGTAATCGAAAATATATTTGTAAAGAAATAGCAACAAATTATGTTATATCATTAGGTAGTTAATAAATTAGAACTTTAATTAATAAAAGACGAATTGATGTTTCAACGTTGGATTGAAAGAGTATTTAACGGAGATTATTTTTTTTTTTTTTACAATTATTTAAGATTAGTTAGTTATTACCTATTAGTTACTAAACTAATTTTGAAGGGAAAGTGAGAGCCATTCTCTTGGCCCTTGAGAGATTGGTTGAAAGGAAAGGCAAGAAAGTTGCTTTCTTTCTTTGTTGACTCACAGGTAGCCATTTTGTTTCTCCAAAATGGATATTTGAATCCAAATGGCCTAAAATTCCATTTGTATTTGGACAGATTAAAAGAAAACGGGACAGAAATCGCTTTCAAGTGGATACTAGTCCATTGTGGGTCCAGCGAAATCACAAGATTGACAAACTGGCCAGAATAGGTTCTGGAATTAACCAACCAGATATTTTTCTGGGCATAGATTGAATTAACAGAATAAAAAAGCGGACTTTACACGGTCATTCGGAATGACATTCGGAGCCAGTATTGACATTCTAATAGATCGTGTAACGTTATGATTGAAGTACTGATGGATGTAACATACGGATATCCGAAAATCAAAGGTTCAATCAAGAAAATTTATTAAGATATGGACGTAAAAATGGTGGTGAAACTAACCTTACTATTAGACAGGTTAGTTTACCTAGGCCTCATAACCATTGCAAATTCTTGATTTTCATTAAAAGTAAATAATTTTTATTTGTTATATAAATTTAGGCCATTATTCACCAACATTTTATTTATTAGCTATTTTATTACGACGTTTCGACCATCACTAGGGCCATTTTCAAGTCTTATTGAGTCCTCCATTAGATATTCTTTATTAATGTCGTATGAATTTTTTAAGAGTTTTCCCTACGTCATTGTCGAGACGTCGTAATAAAATATCTAATAAATAAAATGTTGGTGAATAATGGCCTAATTTACATAACAAATAAAACCTCAATACACCAATTCTAGGAATAATGAACAGATAAATAATTTTTCATATGCCTTATTTATAATTTTTATAAACCATATTCAACTATATTTTTTTTCAAATAAAAAAAGTGGAAACATAACAATTTACTAATAGAAAAAAATAAATATTTAACTGTTGTGTATATTTGTCAGTACTTTTTCCACTTTTCTCAACAAATTTATTATTTTCGCAATATTTTTCCTGAATTTTTGTATGTAGTTGACTTATATTTTTATAACTTTTGTCAACAGAATTTTCGTAGAAAGTAATTATAAGATCTCCATTTTTCTTTTGGTGTGCTATGCTATAAAGAATAAGCTAATGAAACACATCTACGGTGCCTGTTATCTTAACGGCAACTGAGTTAAGCAATCCTAGTCAGTCATTTGACTGTCATTCATGGCCTATCGTGTAGGGTCCGCTTTAGAAAGGAGCAGTACAGATATGACGTCATACATAGACTGCCGAGCAGTACCATCCAAATATGCTCCTTTCTATTCCGCTTAAAGCAGTGTATAACTGTTAGAAGTAAGCGCGGTGGGCAGTATCAGCGAAATAGTACCTTAAAGGGGACCCTACACGGTCATTCGGAATTGCATTCCGAGGCACTAATGACGATCCGAATTATCGTGAATGAAGTACTGAACAAATTTATTATTTTCGAAACACCTTTCCTTAATTTTTGTAAGTAGTAGACTTTATATTTTACAAACTTTTGTCCTATAACCTTACTACTAGATAGGTTAGTTTACCTAGACCTCATTTATAAGTAAATAATTTCATAAAAGTAAATAGTTGTTTATATGAATAGTTTGTATTTTTACTAACCATTTTCAACTATTTTTTCTTTAAATATTCAAGTAGGTAATAAATTGAAAAAAAAAAAAAAGTGGAAACTTCACACTTTAGTAATAGAAAAAAATTAATATTCAACTGTTGTGTATTTCTCAGTTCTATTTACATTTTTCTAAACAAATTTATTATCTTCGCAAT